TATATATATATTAAAGCAAAATGAAGTAGGGGAAAAATTTATTTTGTTCAAATTTATTGGTAAAGATTTATATTTAATATATATATATATATATTTTTTTGAATACTACTAGCTCTATTACATTGTAGATTGTAGTATCTGTTCATATACATTGTAGATTGTAGTATCTGTTCAAATTTTAATAGAACGGTCACAAGAGACGAGGTCCACAAAGCCCTCAAAGACATGAAGCCCTTTAAAGCCCCGGGCCCCGACGGTTTCCAGGCAGGTTTCTACCAGCACATGTGGGACAAAGTTGGGGAGGACGTGTACGCTCTTGTTAGGGGAGCTTTCGCAAGTGGCACCATTCCGGAAGGCCTAAACGATACCTTGATTGCACTGATCCCTAAAGTAAAAGACCCAGAGAACATCAAACAGTTCATGCCCATCAGCCTATGTAACGTGAGCTACAAGATCATCACTAAGACAATCACCAACCGTCTTAAACTTATCCTCCCGAAGATCGTAGGACCTTTTCAGAGCTCCTTTGTCCCGGGACGCCAGATTTCAGATAATGTTATTATCTTCCAAGAGGTAATGCATACCATGCGGATGAAACAAGGAGCGAAGGGGTTCATGGCTATTAAGCTCGACCTCGAAAAGGCTTATGATCGGCTTTCCTGGGACTACATTCAGGACACCCTTGAATGGGCGGGTTTTTCAGGCACGATCAAGGACCTCATCATGACTTGTGTCCGAACTTCCAGGCTGTCAGTCATCTGGAATGGGGATCGGTTAGAATCCTTTTGCCCGGGCCGTGGCATCAGACAGGGCGATGCTATGTCCCCAGCGATTTTTGTCTTATGCATGGAGAGGCTCAGTCAGATGATCGTTTCTGCGACGGACAATCACAGGTGGAAAGGTATTAAAATTGCACCTACTGGCCCAACACTAACCCATCTTTGTTTTGCAGATGATATGGTCCTTTTTACAGAGGCTACAAGTGAGCAGGTCGGAGTTGTCAAAGACTGTCTTGACCGGTTCTGTAGGGACTCGGGACAGCGTATCAGTCTGGTGAAGTCACAGGTGTTCTTTTCAAAGAATATGGATGGCAACGACGCTGACAGCATCGCCAGGCAATTAAACATTGCTCCCACGAATGATATGGGTCGTTACTTGGGTGTCCCAGCTTTCCATGGGAGGATCACGTGTGCCACCTTTTCGGACCTCCTTGACAGAATATCGGGACGCCTGGAAGGTTGGAAAGCACGGACGTTATCCATGGCGGGGCGAGTTGTTCTTGCGAAAGCCGTCCTCAACGCAATTCCTGCATATACTATGCAAACGGCAGCCCTTCCTAGAAGCATTGGCCTAGAAATTGAGAAGAGGACTAGGAAGTTTATTTGGGGAGGGAACAATCTGGAACATAGAATGAGTTTGGTTAATTGGGATCTTGTCACGACAGAGATAGATGCTGGGGGCTTGGGAGTGAAACGGATGAACGAGATGAATATGGCTTATATGGCAAAGCTCGGCTGGCGGCTCAGATCGGAGACCGATAGTCTTTGGGCGAGGACGTTAAGCTCAAAATACAAGCTGACGGGGGCACCGCAATGTGGCACGACCGGGCGACGAAACGTATCAAACGCGTGGCGTGGCATTGTAGCAGCCTGGAGCTTCGTTACAGCAGGATCCAATCAAGTGGTGCGCGACGGGAGGAGTACCAAGTTCTGGATGGACAAGTGGATCACACCTTTGCCTTTGTATTCACAGCTTAACACCCCGCTTCCGTTGCCTGACCTTTACGCAAATGTTAGGGATTATTGGGACGAAGGCCGCGGGTGGAAGTGGGAATCCCTGGAAGGCATTTTGCCGATGACCACAAAGCAGCGTTTGATGAGTTATGTGCTTGCGGAGGATCTTTCCCAAGACAAAGTCGGGTGGGGTCTGGAAGATAACGGGCAATTCTCTGTTCGTTCGGCATACAAGCTAGTCGTAAACAACACGGCATCACCCATAGACGGGCAATGGAGAAAAATATGGCGCCTCCGCATTCCAGCGAGAGTTTGCATATTTATCTGGCTAGTTCGACACGGGCGTATTATGACTAACATGGAGAGAACTCGACGTAAATTAACATCTGTTTCTTCTTGTTTTCGGTGTGCAGGACAGGCAGAGGATTTAAACCACCTTTTCCGGTTCTGCCCGGCGGCAGAGAGCATATGGGAGGACGCTGTTCATTGGCGCACGAATGACCGACTCAGAACGATGCAATGGAGGGAGTGGCTGGAGGTGAATCTGAACGGGGAGGCGAAGCAAGGCTTTGGAGAGAACTGGCCGGAACGATTCTGCACCAGGCTTTGGTAGCTTTGGCGCTGGCGCAATGATGAGATTTTCAAATCCCAAACGATGGCTCTTGGACAGAAGATTGAATGGCTTGCACGCTATGATAGGGAAACCAAGGCGGCGTTTAATGCACGCAAGGTACAAATCGCGGGAAGGAGGACGCAAATGGAGGTTCAGGTGGGGTGGACGGCACCAGCTGAGGGGTGGCTGAAGCTCAATGTCGACGGATGGCGGAAGGGGAATGGTCTGGCCGGTTGCGGTGGTCTGCTACGGGATTCCAGAGGAGATTGGTGCCGGGGTTTTTTGTTTAACGTAGGCATTTGCCAAGCTTTTGAGGCAGAAGCATGGGGGGTGTGGCAAGGACTGCGCATGGCCAATGAGTACGGAGCAACGGCACTCGTTGTAGAGTGTGACTCGAAGAAGCTAGTGGAGATTTTGCGCCAGAGTACCGATGACTCGCCGCTCTTAAACAATATCGTGGGAAGATGCCGGACTGAGGCCGCGAAGATTCCAAGGGTGGTCTTTGAGCATACTCTTCGTGAAGGCAATACAGTGGCGGACAAGATGGCTACAGCTGCACTAGCAAAAAGCCCTGGGTTATGGAGGTTGACGGATATCCCCCAGGAGTTCACCGAGACTATTTGGCTGGATAAGCTGGGAGTGCACGTCACGAGAAACACCCATAGCAATACGGGTGTTTGAGTCCTAGCCAGTGTTTTTGGGGTATCCCCCCTCATCGAAAGCAAAAAAAAAAATAATAATAATAATAATAATACAAGTTACAATAAACTTTAAAATCAACATAATAATAACATAATTAAACTTTTAAAAATATTAAATATTACATTATATAGTTATACTTACATTTTTAATAAAACTAATTCTGAGCTGAAGAACTCAAGTACGTTTTTCTGTTTCCACAATAACCAATTTAAGATGGTAAAAAAAATCAATATTTATGATTACATATTTACTCCGAAATTCCAAAAGTTAAATAAGTTAGAAATCTAATTTTAAGTATGTAGTTTTGGATAATTTTAAATGAGTAAATTGAATAAAAAATATTTAGACTATAGAATAAATAATTATGGTAATTGAAATTATAGAAGAATATGGCAGAATATAAACTAATTAATTATTATAGTAATATTACATGGAATTGTTTGAACCATTTCATAAATGAGTCAAATTTTTTTTTTTTTTTTGAAAGTTACTGGCTCTATTACATTGTAATATCTGTTCATATACTTTCTCAACATACTAAAACACAAAGAACCAATAACGCCTCCACTGAGGTTCAAACTCATAATCTTCCAAATGGAAGTCCAAGTCGATAACCAATAATGCCTCCACTGAGGTTCGAACTCATAATCTTCCAAATAGAAATCTAACCCGGGTACCATTAGACCACATAGTCCTGGTAATGAGTCAATTGAATAAAGAAATTTTTAAATATGGCATATTATAGACTAATTAATTATGGAAATATTATTATGGTAATATTACACGGAATTGGTTGAACCAAATCATAAATGAGTCAATTGAATAAAAAATATTTTAAATATGCCAAAATATAGACTAATTAATTATGACAGAATATTGACTAATTAATTATAAAAATATTATTATGCTAATATTACACATAATTGGTTGAACCAAATCATAAATGAGTCAATTAAATTAAAAAATGTTTTAAATATGGCAGAATATAGACTAATTAATTATAAAAATATTATTACGGTAATGTTACATGAAATTGGTCGAACCAAATAATAAATGAGTCAATTGAATAAAAAATATTTTAAATATGCCAAAATACAGGCTAATTAATTATGAAAATTATGAAAATATTATTATAGTAATATTACACGGAATTGTTTGAACCAATTCATAAATGAGTCAATTAAATAAAAAATATTTTAAATTTGCTAAAATATAGAGTAATTAATTATGAAAATATTATTATGGTAATCTTACACGGAATGAATGAATTAAGTATTAGCATGTACCTTTTTTTGACTAATTAATTAACATTACCCGGAATATTATGAACATAGACTAATTAATGAATTAGGTATTAATGCGTATCTTTTTTGAATTAACGTGTATTCCTTATATGGTATTATTTAATAATAATAATAATAATAATAATAATAATAATAATAATAATAATAATAATAATAATAATAATAATAATAATAAGTGAAATGCCATTTTTACCCTCATATTTAACAGTCCTAACACTCATTTAACGGAGAGGGGGGAAAATAGCTACTTCAAAAACAATTGAGGGGGATAAAGTGGTTACATAAATAATACAGGAGAAAAATATGCTATAAGTAAATAACACAGGGGGGAAAAGTATCATTTTCCCTAAAATAAAATAGAATATGGAGTACGTCACGTGAAGGGGATGTTTATAAATTTGAGGTGGTTAAAATGCATACATATATTCACTTCATGAATTGATTTTAATTGCAAGTGAAGATGAATGATTTTTAAATATGCACAAATTAAAGAATGTCACTTTTATGTTAAATTTTAAATTATATTTTTATTTGTTAAATATTTGATGTATTATATTTTGACTAAAAGTTTTTTAATAAATATTTGATGAAGAAGTGAAGCAGAAGTTGATGATGAAATCATCTAGCAGTGAGCAGCATAAATAAGCTTTAGTCATAAGGGGTAGTTTTGTCTTTGGATTTGTACCCTGGAATCCACCCTGGGGGATAACCATGCTTCCTATAGTATTTCTCTGCTGTGTGCCCAAGCTTATCACAGTAGGTGCATTTAGGGACATTTTTTCCTCCATTGTTGGTAAACTTCTTTTTGTTATTAAGAGTGGAAACTGCCACAACAGATTGTTCATCTGCAGGCTGAAGGCTATGAACAGCATTGGATTGCATTAAAAGTGACCTGCAACGCTCATGGAAAACATGATTTTCTCCTATAGCCACAGCAGATCTATTGTCACAGAATAGAGCAATGGGGCTATCAAAAGTGACCTGCAAATCTGCTAAGAGGAATAAGAGCCACTGGACTTCACAAGTAGTGGATGCTAAAGCCCTGTATTCAGCTTCTAAGGATGATCTTGAAACTGTTGTCTGCTTCTTAGTCTTCCAGGAGATCAAGGATTGTCCAAGATAAACACAATAACCAGTGATAGATTTCCTTGTTTCTATACAAGATGCCCAATCTGAATCAGAAAAGCCTTGAAGTTTGGCATGGCAGTTTGAGGGATAAAATAACCCTTTTCCAGGTGATCCCTTAAGATACCTTAGGACCCTGTGAGCTGCCATCATGTGAGTGTTCCTTGGCTTATCAACATGCTGGCTTAACTGCTGAACAACAAAGGAGATGTCTGGTCTTGTATTTGTCAAGTATAGAAGCCTGCCCACCAACCTTCTAAAAGTCTCAGGTTTGTCCAGTAATTCTCCTTCTAAAGAGCTTAGCCTTTGACCTGTATTAAAGGGTGTATGTACAGGTTTTGCATCCAGAAAACCATACTCTTTTAGAATCTCCAAGGTATATTTCCTTTGACACAAGTTGAGTCCTTCTGAGGTTCTAAGGGCTTCAATTCCCAAATTGTCAATATGCATAGAACTGGTTCATGCTATTAAAATATCATCAACATAGATCAAGATAGCAGTAAAAAAGGAATCTGAAGTCATAGTGAATAGAAAGGGATCTGCTACTGATTGTTGGAAGCCATAATCTTGTAGGGCCTTTGTTAGCTTGGCATTCCACTGCCTACTGGCCTGCTTAAGGCCATATAATGACCTTAGTAGTCTGCAAACTTGCCCAGTTTTATCAATTTGGAAGCCTGGAGGCAGAACCATATAGACCTCTTCATCAAGATCACCATGCAGAAATGCATTGTTGATATCCAATTGTTGAATGTTCCAACCTTTTGCAATGGCCACAGCCAGGAAGGTTCTAATTGTGGTCATTCTAGCTACAGGGGAAAAGGTTTCAACATAGTCCACACCTGACTGTTGTGTGTATCCTTTTGCCACCAACCTAGCTTTATACCTTTCTATGGAGTCATCTGCTTTGTGTTTGACCTTGTAAACTCATCTACATCCAATAGGGGACTTCCCTACTGGTAGGTCAGTTAGGACCCAAGTGTTATTCTCAATCAATGCATCTATCTCAGTTTGCATGGCTTTTCTCCATTCTTCATGTTGTACTGCCTCACTGTAGGATTGGGGTTCATGTGTAGAGGTAATGGATAACACACAGGCTTTGTGGTTAGAACTCAGGCCATCATAGGAGAAAAATTTGTATATTGAGTGAGGAGAGGTTCTCATTCCTGGATTGGACTTTGTTATGGATTGACAGTAATAGTCCTGCAGTTTGGGAGGGACATTTCTTGTTCTTGAAGATCTTCTGGGCTGAGAAGCTTCATCATGTCTAACTGGGAATAAGTTGTTATTCATGCCAATGCCAGTATCTACTTCATCTGCTAGTTCAGCATTCCCTTCTGTGGCATTACCACTGTCTTCATACTCACTATTAGACTCAACATAGTCCACTTCATTCTTGATTAGGATGTTCCCAAAACTGGCATTGTCTGTGTGTCTATCAGCAGAGAAGTCATTTAATTCATCAGAAGTAGAAATCAAGGGTAATGTAGGATTGAGCTGCTCAGTTGGATGGCCATCATCTGAATTTATCAGGTTGAAGGGGTAAACTTGTTCATAGAATAGGATATCCCTAGAAATGAAAATAGAATTTTCAGCAATGTCATACAACATGTAGCCTTTTACATTTGTTGGAAATCCAATAAACACACATTTCCTAGCCCTTGATTGCATTTTATTCCTTCCTTGTGATATAGTAGCACCAAAACACAGACATCCAAAACACTTAAGGAGATCATAGTCCACAGTCTTTCCAAACAGCATTTCATAAGGCACTTTTCCATCAAGAACTGCAGTAGGCAACCTGTTTATCAAGTATGAGGCATGAAGAACACAATGTCCCCAAAATTTCATAGGAACCCCTGATTGAAACTTTAAGGCTCTTGCTACATTTAAAATATGTTGGTGCTTTCTTTCAGCCACCCCATTTTGTTGGGGTGTATACACACATGATCTTTGATGCACTATCCCCTTTTCATCAAAGAAAACTGTCATCAAGAATTCACTTCCATTGTCTGTCATCACTGTCTTAATCTTAGTTGAAAACTGTGTTTCAACAGATGCATAGAACTTCTGAAAGATGGATTTGTACCCTGGAATCCACCCTGGGGGATAACCATGCTTCCTATAACATTTCTCTGCTGTGTGCCCAAGCTTATCACAGTAGGTGCATTTAGGGACATTTTTTCCTCCATTGTTGGTAAACTTCTTTTTGTTATTAAGAGTGGAAACTGCCACAACAGACTATTCATCTGCAGGCTGAAGGCTATGAACAACATTGGATTGCATTACTTCAACATTTCTCTGATTGCTAGCAGTTCTAATTTTTCTCTTCATTTTGAGTGTCATGTTAAGGACCTTTTCCATGCTAGGAATAGGATCCATAACAAGGACTCCTGACTTAACGGTCTCAAAATCATCATTCAATCCTTCCAAAAAATGGATTACCTGATCATCTTCTCTTTCCTTTTAAATCTTTCTAAGGAGTTTGCAGGAGCATCTAGGAGTGCATTCACATATTGGGATTGGCCTCATGATCTTCAACTGTTCCCATAAGGCGTTACTCCTAGTGAAGTATTCGTATACAGACATACTTCCTTGCTCATTTTTGAAGATTTCGTTCTGTAACTCAGCAATCTTATGAGGATCTGCCTGCGAATATCGCTTCTCAAGAGTATTCCAGATATCCCTTGCATTTTCAAAGTATAACACGCTTTCGGCAATGGTAGGGTTGAGAGATTTGAAAATCCAGGCACACACAATGTTGTTGCACCTTCTCCATTAATGATAACTAGGATCAGACTCGCCTGGATTTGGAGTATCTCCATTGATGAAGCCAAGCTTGTTCTTGACTTCGAGTGCTATCTTCATCGACCTGCTCCAAGATGAATAGTTGATCTCCGACAGAGGTGGCGAAACGAGAACAGTGTTCGGATTCTCCGTGATGTGAAGGTACATCGGATCGTCAAGTTTATCCGATCGTCGACTAGGGTTGATCGGAGGTTGATTCATCGAATTCTTATTCGAAGAAGCTACTCCTTGTCCGATCATGTTTCAGGCATCATCACTCTGCACAACGGCCGCAGCGTAGCTTCGATAGCGCTCTGATACCATGTTCGATCTAGCTTGGCTATGACATGAACATCACACTCACAGAGAAAGGAAGAAGAGGATACATTGCATAGTGTTTACTTACATTGGAAAGGAAGAAGGAAAGCTGACTTTATACCATAGGCACAAGCCTTGACCAACGGTTATAACTTACAAAGCAAAGGAAAAGACAAAACTACCCCTTATGACTAAAGCTTATTTATGCTGCTGACTGCTAGATGATTTCTTCATCAACTTCTGCTTCACTTCTTCATCAATATTACGTAAAAAAATGACAGTTCAAATTCAATTATTAAACATAATTCATGTTTTTGTAGGATCAACCTTGTGAAACGACAATCATTATACCACATATCAGTGACATATAATTCATTTTTAGTATATTGAATGTTACTTTTTGAAAGTTTTTTTTAATGTACTAAAAATTTATTTTTAATTATTATCTAAAAATAAACATTCAGAATACTAAAAATGAACTTTCAATATACTAAAAATGAACATTTATCAGTGATCCATAATATATAGTTCAGTGAAATGATTTCTAATTGTTCATCATAATTATTTAATATTCGTGAAAATGAATTATTTTCCAACAATTAAATCGTACATAAAAACTAAAATAAAAACTCTACTAAAATTGTAATTAGATTCCATTAATCAGGGCATCAGGCAGTCCATACATTAGCCAGGCAATCTGTTTTTTTTTTTTTTTTTTTTTTTTTTTTTTTTTTTGATTATTCAAAATGGTTCCATAACCCTCTCACCTTCCTTTGTAATGTTCTTTCGTGGAAATGAATTAATCTTCCTTGTTTAAAAAAATAAAAATTTTCCATTATGGTATTTGGGACCAATGGCGGATCCCGTCGGAGAGGACGTGGGACTCTCCCCGCGGGTTTGGAAAAGGGAAAATACACTTTTTCAGTCATTGTCTGCCAATATATATATATATATATATATATATATATATATATATATATATATATATATATATATATATGTACTCCTTTTTTTTTAATTTATTTTTTTACTTTTTATCAAACTATATTTCTTTTCATTTTATTATTTAAAGAATAAAAATCATATTTTCTATTATTGTTATATATTTTTAAATTTATTTTGTGTATTTAGTACCATATTTAATGTAACTTTTGTTAGATATATATAGTCTCACGATTAATTGAATAAACCTAAATACGAGAAACAAAATCTTGTAATAGCGAAAGCATCTGATACTTGACTCAGAACTCGAGATGGTATATTGATATTTTCTTAGTAGCATGAGTATCATAAACTGAAGGTGCTACATAATGTATATTCTATATCCCATTAATATATTATATATGCTTAGGATCCTATGAGAACACACGCTCAGGAGAAAACTAAGAATCAATATTGATCAGTTTTACATCTTTAAAAATTGAACGGATCATATAAAAAAAATGCGGTGACATTTTCGTAATTATCGTCAATTTCACTTTGCAACTTAGAGCACTATACTATGCACTTTGTGACAACTAAATATACATTACTAGAAAGCTTTTAAAAAATCAATGAAAAATTTAATTTTAAATCTAAACCGAGTTGTAAAAATTGAACCCTAAACTAAATAAAACCAAAAACTCAAGTCATAAACTCTAAAATCCAAACTCTAAGTGCAATGCACTTTCTTATTCTTACATATATGTGTAAATTTGTGCACTTTGTTAATACTAAATGTGTATTTTTTAACAACGAACTAAATGTGCATTCTTGGAAAATTTTGAGAAATGCAGATATTAGTGTTCTTGCATAGTAAAGTTGGTGATAATTTTGAAAATGTCACCACTTTTTTTTTTTTTTTTTTTTTTGAAAAAGGGTCAAATAGGCCCTCGAACTTTAGCTTAAAAGTCAATTAGGCCCCTAAACTTTTTAAAGGTGCAATTACACCCATCAACAATTCATTTAAGTGCAATGAAGCCCAAAAACAAATTAATGACCTGCTATCACAGGTCATTAGGGTTCAGGCCACCTTCCGTCGAATTTCCCGGCAAAAAAAAAAAAAAAAAAAAAAGTGACCGCGAAATTTCTGACAAAAAAGTGACCGGCGAAATTTTCGGCAAATCTGGATCGGTTGATGGTCACTTTTTTTTGTCGGAAAATTCGCTGGAAGGTGGTCTGAACCCTAATGATCTGTGATAGCAAGTCATTAACTTGTTTTTGGACTTCGTTGCACTTAAATGAATTGTTGATGGGTGTAATTGCACCTTTAAAAAGTTTAGGGTCTAATTGACTTTTAAAATAAAGTTCGATGGCCTATTTGACCCTTTTCCTTTTTTTTTTTTTTTTTATCTGACTAGTTCAATTTT